ATGTTTAGTGATCTGGAAGCACTACCTATTGTGCTATTGATCCACAGGTCAAATATTTGATTTTATTTTTATAGTTAAGAAAGTAAATTATATACTGTATATATTTTTTAAAAAAAATTTTTAAAGCCTATAAAAAATTTCAATATAAAAAATTTTATAACAAATTTCATTTTTTCTAATATATTTATATAAATAAAGAATACATTTTTTTCTTAATATTAAATATTAAATTTAAATTTAATAAGATTTTAATTGAAATATTTTTTATTTATTTAATATTTTTATAATAAAAAAATAAAATAAAGTTAAAATTAAAAAATGAAAAATAATAATTATAGATAAGAAAAAATAATTTGGTTATATTTTCATATACAAAAAATTCAAATTATATTTTTTTTTATAATTTGATAAACAATAATTTAAATTAAATAAAATCTTTAATATATATTATTTACAATATAATAAAAAAACAATATATTAAAGCTGTATCAATATTTAATTAGTAATTTATTGTAAAAAATTAATTAAAGTTGAAAAAAATTGTTTTAAACAATTGCAAATTTTAAATATAAATTTTTATATAAATTTTGTTTGGAAAATAAATTTTAACTATAGTAAATTTTTTCAAAAAAAATTAATTATAAAATTAAAAAAAGAAAATATCATCTTATAAAAATTATCAAATGTTTTTTATTGTGTTTAAATAATAACATTAAAATTTTTTTGTTTTTTTTTTATTTTATAAAATTAATTTGAAAACATTTTTAAATTCTTTAAAAATTTGATTTTAATATAAAATTTAAAAAATTCATGTAAAATTTTGATCAAATTATCAAATAAACCAGAATTTTTTTAATAGTAAAATTGTCAAAAAATCAATTTAAAAAAATATACAAATTAAAAAACAAAAAACACTTTCTGACAATCAATTTTTTACTCAAAAATTTCCTTATTTGGTAACAAACTTTCTCAAGAAACTTTTTACTTTCAAGTACTCCCAAGTGCTTCCAACTGATAACTAACTAACTAACTCCTAACCATGGAGCACCCACCAAAAAGCAGTAACAAAAAGCAATTTCTATATGCCACTATTTATCAGAACTGGAACTAGCTCTTTCAAATTTACTATTTTGACCTTGATAATAATACAATCATCTGAACAGAATTTGCAAGAACCCTTCTCATTACCAATCTTTCAAACTTTTCTAACCAATTTCTTATCATTAAAGAGAGAAAAAATATTGAAGAAATAGTCAAAACAAACTCTACTAACAATGTTTGCATTATTAACTTCACAACAGAAATGACCAAAAAAAAAGATCAAAAGAAACACCCACAAACCCACATTCAACTCTCTAACCAAAGGAACATCTTTCTTAACTTTCAATACATCAGCAACATAGTGGAAAAAATAGAAAAAACCCAACTAAACACAGAACTTTACAATCGCCTGCAAGAATTTTTCTCTCTCTCTCAAGGAATAACAAAAAACTCCAACCAGCTTACCTCTGAAAATAATCGTCCATCTATCACTTCCCTTGTCTCCCAAAAAAGAAATGTTGATCAAACAGCCATAACGTACACACATGCAAACCCTTTGTCTATTACTTCAGATCTAACCCAAACTGACAACTCCATAAAAATTAGTGAAACAGCCGATGAACTAATGAAACTCTCTAATTTAGATCCTCCTTCTACCAACCCCATACAATCAAACACGTCTCATCCTCAACAACCAATCAGTTCCCTAACAACTCTCTTACTATTTCAAGCTTTATGGACATCAGCAAAATCCAACCAACAGACCAATCACAATTAATCAACTTCAAAAATGTTGTCAACCTCGACCAACTCTCTAGTTCTAACACTATACTCACTCAACCCCCAACCAAACACATGATCATCTTTCTTTGAACATGAAATTCAAGATGAACTCCAACAAATCCGTGATAACAAGCAATATGAAACTCTACGTAAAAAGACAAAACAACTAGCCAACCAACTGCTTTCAATGCCCAACAATATTAACACAATTATCAATATAATTACAAAAATCAGGGAATTACCCAAATACCTATCTTATTTCTTCCAACCAACCTTTAACAAACTTAAATACAAAGACCATATCTTTTTCAATTCTTTTACAACCAAAGAGGATATCAAACCAGCCCATCAAAAAGAATTCAATGAAATAGAAAAAGATTTTCAAGAAAAATACAAAAAGGAATGCAATCTTAACTTTGTCAATTTTGAAACAAAAAAAAAATTTGAGTCATTGTCTGCACTATCTTGTCAATTATTTATCTAAGAACTATCGACATCAACAATATCCACTTCTATGAACTTGCCAGTCTTCTTACCTACCTTATCAATTATTTCATCAGAAAACCACAATTCTATGTTAACCACATGGAACTCAAGAAAATCTCAAGGAATATACTGACAATATCTTACCAGAACTTCCATTCTCTCCAACTGAAATTCCACCTCAAATCAAAATCAAACTACTATACAACCTTCCTAAGAAAAACAAATCTCAACTTATTTCAACTCTACACACACTCAGATCCTATTATAAATTTCAAAAACTTCCAGAAAACTACTTCAAAATCAATCCACCACTACCCAAAAACCCTAGCGAACTTCTGTCAAAATACAAAAAAATTTTTCCAATTAAAAAATACAGCAAGCTAAACAGACTCTCTGAATATAAAAATTACTTATGTGAAGAATACCAAATTTTCTCCAAGTTTCCCGAATCCTACTTTGAACTTCCACCTCCAAAAAAACCACTTCCCTCAACATATCACTTACTTGAACCCAAATATTCAAGCTTTTTTCCTTTCAATCCCAGAGACAGTACAATAACCATCCAAGAATTAACTACACTACTCTGCAAAACCTATTACTTCAAACTTCTTTCAAATGACTTTTTCTTCATCAGAAAAAACTTCCCTCATCCCCAGACAAAATTTTAAACCTAGAAATAAACATTTCTTTTCCTGTAACAAATCCTACAGATACCTCTTTTTCTTCTTAATCTCCTGTCAAAAAAATACTTCTTTCAAACACCCTTGTCAAAAGAGTAGATAAATATTTCAAAACAGAATGACACAACAATACAAACAGCTTCATTCAAACCATCTCTTCCAGAAGATTTCAATATCGTCAATGAAAAAGCAAACACAAACTATCTAATTACAAACAAAAAATTCCTCAGAGAAAATGTCATCAAAACACACCAATTCTACCAATTCTCCAAAATTCCAGATGAATGGATTCAAATTTAGCAAAGACTTCCTATCCCAAGTCTACCTGAACTAAAAAAATATTTGATTCAAAACAAAATCGAAATGGATATTTCCATAATCAATGACTTTAACTTTACCTCAAAAATCCGCAAACTCAGAGAATACTTTGCCTTTCAAAGGCTCCCCAATGAATATATCATTTAAATTAAACTTCCTAAACCATCAACAAAATTCTTCAACTTTTTTCAACAATGATAACTACAAACAACCTGTTCAAAAATTTTTCAATCAAAAGAAACCTCAAAAAAATCATACACAAAAAAACCACAATCAATACAAATCAACAATCACTTGAAATTGGATCTCTCAATACAAGAGGACTCAATAATCATACAAAACTAAACTATCTCTTACAATATATTAAAAACAATAACTATAATATCTTCAGCCTATCAGAAACCAAACTTCAAGCTACTAAAAAAATCTCTCACATAATTGATAACTTCATTATATACTTAAGCAATCTCAATCAAAGCCAAGCAGGAGTCTCCTTAATAATAAACAAAAATCTCTCAAATCACCTTTACAAAACTTCTGAATTACAAGGATACATCATTTCAATATTCCTCCAATTCAAACCCAAAATAAAAATTTGCATTACGTAAGTTTATCTTCCACATGACACAAACACAAGGAAAAAAACTACTTTATACCTCCAAATACTTATCAATAACAACTCATCAAAAAACATCTCATATATTATCATGGGTGACTTTAACTTCACATCTAACTCAATTGACAAAACACAAAAATCAGAACCAAAACACAAAGCAACCATATATAAAAAACTGAATAGAAACTACGTCAACATTTCATTTCTTCTCTTCCAATAAAGCAATGTATACCTTTTCAGGACCTACAGGCCAAAGCCGCATTAATCAAATTTGGATATCAAATAACATTATCTCACAATCCACCAAAACACAAATAATAAATACAGAACCAGAATTCCGCAGTGACCACAAAATTATCACACTTACACTCTCCAATTTCTTAATAACAAAAACTATCAAAAGTATACCTGCCATCCATTTCAACTTTAATAAAGTCACTAAGGAAAAATGGGAAAAAATAAACAACACAATCGATAACAAACTAAAGCTACTCCCCGAAGAACTGGACATCCAAGAAACGTGGAAATTCTTCAACTCAACTATTATTAAAACTTTAAATGAACTAATTCCAAAAACTAAAATCCTCAAAAACACACCACAAATCTTCAGCAAAAAAGGCATTATTCTTTATAAAAAACTACAAACCATCAAATTCTACACACATATACAACTAATGATGTGACCCAAATATATTTGACACAAATTGATATTAATGGCAATTTTATATTGGGATTGGGATTTTTGTCAAATCCCAAATATATTCCCAAATTCCAAACACATTTTCAAATCCCAAATATATTCTCAAATATTAAATACGTTCCCAAATCTCAAAAACATGTGATAAAATTTATATCGTTAATGATGATAACTTTTTGATATAATCATTTATAGTATAATAAATAATTTGATTATTTTTTTTATATAAAAGATGATACATATAATTAAATTATAAAATTTTTTTCCAACTTTCGCAATGAATTCTGATACCACTATTAGTACTATTGATGATTAATCAACACAACTTCAAACAGTTAAAAAAGAAGGACGTCCTAAATCGATTGTATGGAATTATTTCATGAAAGGCTTGGCAGATAAATATAATCATTACGGAGCTATTTGCAACTATTGTGGACAAAAATGGTCAAGAGGAAAACTGGCAACAATGGAAAGTCACTTGGCATTACATTGTGAAAAAGCTCCTGAAAATATTAGCACTATGTTTCTTCATTTAATAGCTGAAAAGGCTGAAAGATTTTTTCAAAATGATAGTGATAATGATGATTATATTACTTTGGATCAAAAAAGAAAAAAAAAAACAAAAAAAGTTTTGAGCAATTATTTAAACCAGTAGAACCAGTTCATGAAGAATGCAAAAAAATTATAGATCGGGCATCTTTAAAGGCTTTTATTTGCTGTGGTATTTCTTGGGCTATTATCGACAATCCTTTTTTTATTGATTTGATTAAAATATTGGAATCCGGTTATATTCTCCATATCGAAATATCTTATCAGGTCGTTTATTAGATAAAGAACTTGTAGTTATCACAGTTAATATTAATAAATCTCTTATAAATCAACATGATTTAACCTTGGCTCTTGATGGTTGGACAAATCCATTCAACAACTTATTGTATAATTATTTTATTTCAATACCAGACCAAAAAGAATATTTAATTGCTATTCAAGATTATTCTTTGGATTCTCAAATGGGTACATATATTGCAGATAAGATTAGTACGATTATAGAAAAAATTGGATCTTCAAAATTTGCTGCTATAGTAACTGATGATGGATCTAATGTTAGAGTAGCACGTCAAATTATCAATGAAACTTATTCACAAATTATGAATATTCGATGCATTACTTATTGGTTTAATCTAATTTCAAGTGATCTTGTCGAAATTCCATCAATCAAACTTGCTTTAGCAAATGCAAGTATGATTATAACATTTTTCAAGAAATCCCATATTGCAAGCCGTTTACTTCGTGATGAAATAAAAATTATGAATATTCAAGGTAAAAATTTGGAGCAATTTATTAAAACAAGATGGGTTTCAGCATTTAATACTGCAGATTCATTAATCTGTATTAAACCTGTATTTGACAAAATTCTTGAAGAAAATCATAGTACAATAACAAATAATACAGTTTACAAATTACTAAAAGATGATGAAGAAATATTTTTTAGTACTTGTCGACATATTATTACAATATTTTAACCTATTAAGGAAATAATTACTGTATTGGAATCAAGAACTGCCAATTTAGCTGATTGCTTTATTGGTTTTGTACGATTAAGTATAGCAATTAAACAAATTCCTATTACCAACTTATTTAGAAAAGATATTATTAATATCTTTAACAAACGGTTTTCCAATTTTGATATGAATATTTATATTTTAGCATATTATTTGCACCTTAAATACCATGAAAGTGGCTTAAAATGTATTAAGTTTTGGGATCTCTGCAAGCTTGTATTGGAAATTTATTCTCGACAATTTCATGATGAAGCAGATTGTAAAAAATTAATGAGTCAATTATATTGATACAAAGCCAAAAATCCATCATTCGATTTTCCTTATAATAATATTTATCAAACATTCGAATTATGGTGAGCTATTATTGATGACAATTATTCTCATTTGCAAGAGGTTGCAAAAATGATTTTTTCAATAACTCCTTCGCAAGCTTCTTGTGAATGCAATTTTTCAGTATTAAAATGGTTATATGGAGATAAAAGAACAAAACTTCAAACTACAAGATTAAAAGCTATAGCAAAAGTACATTTATGGTATCTTTCAAATATTAACAAAGAACTTCAATATTATAATAATGATCTTTCAATTAAAGATTTTTATAATAATGCTTTGGAACAAACTGCATTTGACAACTGGAAAGATTTTTGACAACCAATTGATAAAAACGACGATACAGAATTTCAATTACAAACCGACGAAAAATTAATAATTGATGATTTAATTGATTTGAACGATTCTATTTTTATCAAAGATAATGAAATTGAAGAATCAAGAGATAATAATTATGTTGAAGATCATAGAAATTTAAATTTTTGTGTTGACAATATTATAAATAAAATTTTAACAGATACGACAAAATAATCAAATGTTTAAAATTAGATATTGTTATAGACAAAGGTGTAATGCGACATACAATTTGTATGTACTTTGACTATAATTACAATGTAATTAAAAGAAATAACATATAAGTATGCAATCAGTAAATATATATTTTAATTAGCACTTCTGAATAAATACATACTTTTGCTTACACTTTTAACAATTTGTATTAATCTCTAAGTAACGAGATAAACTTAAGATTTATTAACTTGAGATAATTAAAAATTATAGTAAAATTATACAATCTAAAACTATAACTTAGTCAAATTAAAACATATATTAAAAGTCTTATCTTTGTTCGAAAGTCTACTAAGTAATAATTTGAAATACTGGTTTGATGACTGACCCGTAACAATATATTGTTAGTAGCAATAATTATTATTTTGGAACATTATTATGGCAAAATCCCAAACTAGTTTTGTTAGGTTTGGAATATGTTATATGGCAAAACTATAGAATTTGGGTCACACCACTATATACAATCTCATATCTCAATCTCCTAAACCACTTGACCAAGCAATATTAAACAACCTAAAAGAACTAAATCTACCACACAGTAACAAAACTGAACAAACTACCTCACTCAAAAAACTATTTAAAATTATATACAAAACTCTCAAAATCGAAAATAATCTATAAAGAAAAGAGATAATTGACAAAATTATTAACCAACACAATGAATTTACAAGACAAATCAAAAATAATGATAAAACAAACACTTAATCACAAATGACACCTGTCTGCACTGTAACTTATATACAGAAACTACTTATCATCTCTGGCTTTGCAAACAGGCACTACTGATAATTAAAAAAATCCTTACCAACTCACAAATACTTCTTAACAAAAAATTCAAAAATAATAAAAACTTTAATCTCAATCAAATTTCAATTACTATTAATTCTGCAATCTATCTAATTGACTTCGCAACAAGTACATTCCAACCTAAACATATATTTAACAATCTCAAACCAAACTAGCAAGATCTCAAAATCCTAAACCAAATCCAAAATGAAACTCTCGAACTCATATATCAATATATCTGAATTCCAAGAAACAAAGATATGATTGAAGAAAAAAAATTCTTCGACATTTCACAAAACACCAAATACAGAAAAAATAACAAAAATAACAATAAAAAACCTTCATAACATCAACCAAAAACCAACTATCAATCCTATACCTAATCACAAATCAACTCAACAAATCGAACTAACCAATATTACACTCAAACTTTTTTCTCAAAACTCATCCATGTCTTTCTAGGACAAAGTAAATTATTAAGGAGGCATTAGCCCTTCAAAATTAGATAGTTACTTTCTTTTTCCTTGCTCAAAGGTTTTTTATCAGAAATATATCTAATATGGTGGTAGGCTGACATGTATAGCAATGTATCTCAACATCTTAATATTAATTATGTAACAACTTTACTTTATTAATAAAGATCGTGAGAAATGCCTCACTTAACAGTAAAAAAAAATAATTATTATAAAATCAAAAAAAAATTTTTTCTTATTCTCTGTTTATTAGAATTTTTTTTTTAAAAATTTTTTTTTATTTTCTCTCTAAAATGAAATTTTGTAGCTAGTTGAGTATAAGATATACTAATATTATATAAAGTTCTTCCAACTATCAAATATTATTGCTTAAAAACTATATACATACAGTATATAGTATTGATTAACATATTTAAAGAAAGTATTCTTTGCTTAAAAAAATGCAAACAAATTATTTTTTATATATGATAATAGTCTGAGATAAGAATAAAAAAAACTTTGTAATAAATCAATTTTTTCTTTATAAGACTTTGCATATATATATAATCACAAGTATAAGAACAATTAATTTTTGTTTTTGTTTTTTTTTTCAAATTTTTTTTTTAATAATAAACAGTTTTTTTTTTCTTTAAATATTTGCTTTTCGGAATGTTTCTTCTATTATTTATATTATCTTGTTAATTCTTTAAATTGTTATTTAACTATCTCAATCAAGCTAGCAACTTTATTTAAATTGATATTTTATTTGTTTAAAAAATATAAATTTTTTTTCAAGATTTTTTTTTTGTTTTAAAAAGTTTAACTCAAAAAAGATCAACTTATTATTACTTTAATTAAAAGATTAGGATTTTGAAAAGACAATTTATTTCATTATATTAAAGGTTCTAGATACATATTTCTATAATTAATAACTATATATCAAGTTAGTTAGACATAAGAAAAGATTGTTAAAGAAAATAGTTTGATTAATAATATTGAATACATAAAGATTTACTTTGCTAAGAATTTAAATTGCTAATTAGTATATTAAAAATATATAATTGTAAGTAATTCTATCTTAAATATCTAATAATACTACTGTTTTATTTATTATTTAAGAGAATTATAAGATTGTTTTTTTGTTTTATTTAACTTTCAAAATTTTATAAAACAAAAAATTATAAACAGTTTATTATATCAAAAGATTAATATAAACTTATTTTAATATATTGATATTTGAATTATTAATATAAAAAAGACTATTTATTCTTAACTTTATTTTTTTGGTTACATTGCTATACAAATCCAGATCACAATTCAAAACTTAAGTGCTGCATCACTTTCTTATTACTATTACTTATAAAGCAAATATATATAGTTTATAATATAATTAATAGTTGATTATTAATTATTATTTTTTTTTATCTTATTTAAGTTTTTAAAAGTTTATATATATCATCTTTTTTTTACAATATGTTATAATTATTTATATTTTATGTAAAAGATTGTTAATGTAATAATAATAAACAATTTGTTTAATAAAGATTTTGTATTTAATATTTTTTTGCAATTAAAAAAATTATTATTATTATAAATTTAACAAAACCCTTTTCCAATTATACTCACATTACAAAAAATTACTATATTAGGAAACACAAAATTTCTTTTTGATAAAAAATCAAATACTGGAAACCTCCTCTATCCAAAAGTCAAACAACCAATTATGAACATATACTTCTTGATATTCTTATAACTGTGTAACAATATAAATGGTAAAAGAAGTAACACAATATATGTCATATAAGTGGCACAGACTATATATATTTCCTTATTATCATAAAAGAAAATTTGATTGACAATATGATTCTGAATTAAATATAATTTTCAATTACTTACTAATTATTACTTAGTAATATAAACATAATACAGTTTTTGAAAAAATATCTGAATTAAATATGAACATATATATAATACAGATAAGCCAATAGAGGGAGCATTACAATTGGAATACAATTATTTAAACTGTATTTCTTTAGGATATCTGTAACTTGAAATATTAATGGAACTATATTTCTATAAGTCATACAGATATTTATCACATCCCATGATGACCAAGACCCAAGTTGAATATGGAGTTATTATTAATATCTGATAAAATACCAATAGGATCTTTATTGTTAATCTTATTTGACTTATTTAGATTATAAGAGATATTTCTATAAATACAGAGAGTACTCAAAAGTCATTGGACAAACTTTAAAACTTTATATCCAACTGTATATATAGAATTAAAAAATTTTTATTTTATTTTATTTTTTTTATGCAATAATTACTGAAATATTAAAAATTTTAAAAAAGTTTAAAAAATTACTCAA